GCGGAGAAATAAATATAGCCTGTATATTTCTAGGTCAAAATGAAAGATTCTGAAAAAAATCCTTGAAAAAACTTGGCAAAAAAACTTTAAAAAAGGCGACTAGAAAGAAATTCACATAGAAATTTTCCTGATTTTCAGGTCCGGATATTTGAAAATTTTGAAAATCCGCAAAGTTTATTCCTTGAAAAATTAATGCACGGGAGAAGGAATTTTTTTTTTTGAAATTTTTAAGTTCAACCTTCAATCTTTTGAATTTTTCTTTACATTTCGATAGAAAATCGAAAATCTCACCCGTCCCACAACCGACGTCCAGAACCTTCTTGTCCTTGATCAAATTATGTTCCTCTATAACTTTTTTTAACGCCGGCCAAATAATCTCTTCTCTCAACAAAGATTTTTCTTCGTACTTGAGATATTGCTCCAATGGAACGCTATCCGTCATGGAGAACCTTAACAAAAATTTCAATCAAAAATGAATTCCAAGTCTTGTGAAGTACGAAAAACTTGGTAATGATGAGCCAAAAAAATTACAAATTTCACAGTTTTTTTCTTATAAAAAAATTTTTCCAGGATCACTTTATATTGAAATTTTTTTGCTTTGAACGATTCAAAAATTGAACAGAAAAAAATTATTTAAAAAAACTTTCAAACGGAAATATAGGCCATTCCGCGCCAGCTTGTCACGTTTTTTTCTTTCCGCCAAAAGGCCAGGTCAAAAGTCAGCTAACTTTCGCTTCAAGACCTTTGTTTCTTGCCGTTATAAAAGCAGGAATTTGATCTAATTTGATATACGGTCTTTTTGGCGGAAAGAAAAACGTGACAAGCTGGCGCGGAATAAGCTATAACTCAAAACTAATTCCAGTATACTTGAAAAAGAGTGAAATATGAAAAAAATAAAAAATTAGGTTTACCGAAAAAAATAAATTCGAAAGAAAATTTGAAAAAAAGGGTCCTTTTTGTTACTTTTTAAAAATTTTTTTCCAGAACTTTTTTTCCAACCTATTTCAGAAATCCAATAAACAAATGATAAGACGCGAAAATCAGAAGAAGAAAAAGAGAAAAAAACGAAAAAAAAACCCATCAAAAGGTCAAGAAAACTTCAAATTAGATCGATTTGTTACACTTTTTGGGCTAGAGTGTAGCCAAAAGTTCAAGATTTTCTGTTTTTTTTTCACGAAAAACTTCAAATTCGAAGCAAGTTTTTGAGAAATTCGTCATTTAAACGATGAAAACATCCCAAATAAATCAGGCCATGCAACTTAAAGACAAAAAAAATTGAGAAAAAAACCAAAATAATTTATTTTTCAAATTTTTCACTTTTTTTGCCGTAATGATCCAAATCTACTGTATAGAACAACTTTAATAATAAATATTACAATCTTCGAATTTCGAAAGTCAAAAGGAGGAGAAGCACCGATTGGAATCAATAAAAAGTTGGACAAAAACGTGAAAAAAATAACTAAAGATAGAATTTTTTGTAAGGGGCACTTTCAGTGGTTTTGAGCAATTAGTATTGAAAAAAGAATTAAGTAAATAAGACACGAAGAAAAAATGAATCACAGGAAAGTTTGAAGAAAGTTAGTCATGATATGCATCTAAATTGGTCAGTTTTGAGGATAAATTCAAGAAAAAATACAAGAAATTGAGCAAAAAATACAAGAAAAAAAAATCACATGAATGAATAAATTAATAATTTCTTTAAAAGATTTATTTATCATTATTCCCGCGGCTCACAGTGATGGCCACGGGTCCTTGGACCATTTTTAATCGGTCCAAAATCGCTGAAGGGGTCAGTCCTTCGACTAGTTCGCCGTCGAGCGAAACCATCCGGTCCCCAACTCGAAGAGTCCCTGAGAATTCATGTTTCAATATTTCTATCTGACTAGGGAATGGTCTCAGCTCACAGGAGGACTTCTAATTGAGACTAGACTCACTAGGTGTATTTTTTCCCGCTGATTCCAAAACCAGTCTCAAAAATTGCTCAACACGTCTATGAAAAAAGTTATACACTCTCAAGAGTCGAAAATTTCTTAAATTGAGATCGTTTTTTTTTCTCGAGTTTCCCAAATTTGAAACACATAATTTCGATTTCCAAATTTCGGACATTTGATAGTCCAAAATGCTTTGACAGGCGTATTGGGCTACTTTTGATACAGGATTTGAAATCAGCGTAAAAAACTACATGTATGATTCAAAATCAGTCCAAAAATAAATCTGAAAGCTCAAAGTCTGGCAAAAAAGAAGCTATGATAAAATGAACTTTCAATAAACATTTCTATGAAATCTTAACGAATGAAAAATCTTTCTTTATAAACTTTTGCGAAAAACAAGTTCAATAAAAAACAACTTTCATGTTTCAATTTGAAAAAAATACAATTTTCATACTTTATCAATGAATTGCAGACCTTACAAAGTTCGTTATAATTTTTTCAGGCTTGGAAAAATATCTTCTTCTTCAAATTCTACGTTTTATAAAAGCAAAAACCCTAAATTTTATCGTTAAACCCACCATCAAGATCAGCAGCCGACCCATCGGCGATCGATCTAATGAAAATCCCATCAGACATTGTTCGCTTGCCCAATGACAGGCCTGAAAAACATGGAAAATTGAGCACTTTTTGCAGAAAAATGAAGGTCTGACCAAGAGATCCCTGGGGCTTCTTCTGCAAAACGACGGAGACGATCTGAGCGTCGGACGGGGTCGATCCAGCGGCCTTGCCGACGTCGGTCGAGGACGTTCGCTGTACACCAAGGGTGACAACTTCGCCGCCGCTACGGAGCATCGTCACGACTTCGTGATGGGACTTTCCTTCGACCGCGACGCCATTTACCTGAACAGGGTTGATTTTATGATTTTTTTTTCAAGTTTTAAATTCTCACTTAGCCTGTGCTTCATTGATTAATGTAAAATCAAAATGAAATTTGTTCGTCTTTTTTTTCTGTTTAAAATAACAATTTACGTACGTTCCCGGTTCGGAATAAGTTTTGAAGCCTTGTTTCTGATATACAAATTTGAACATCTACCTCCTGAAAAACCAGTCTTCACTACTGTAAGATCTTACTTGGTCCGTAGTTCATCATTTAACGAAAAAACCGAGCGTATATATTTTAACTTTAAGCCTGAGCCTTTTATTTTGAAGAACTAACGAAACCGAATGTCTCACACCTGTTCCTTGTAAAAATTTATCATCGGAGCGCACAAACCGCATAACTTTGAGGCTCATAATTCCTGACTCTCTTCTCTTCAAACTCACATAAAGAAGAGTGTCGCCGACGCGAATATCGGGATGAGAAATGGCGGGCTCTGCGGTCAGTTGTTTGATACAGACACGGCCGCCAAGGGAAGCGATTTGAACTCCCAAAGAGCCGTTTTGATTCCGCCGGAGTTCGATCTACAAAAAATAAAGTATGAAGAAAAGTTGTAAAAGTTCTGGAGCAGAAAAACTTTATAACCTTAATATTACAAGACAGAAAAGCACGCCTTTTTCATTTTTTTTTTCCTTCATTTTTTGATCAAATTTCTTGTAAAAATACATTATTTTCCTCACATCAATAACGCCGGGTGTAAAATTCTCCTCCTCGTTCTCCTCGCCGACGTCCTCCAGCTCTTCCGTCCAGTCCAGGTTCGACTTTCTGAAAAAATCCAAATCGTACCAAAAATACTGAAAATGTCTCCCGAAACTTTTTTTTTTCGAAAATTTTTCAAAAAATTACCTAGCATAACGATACTTCCTCCCATCGGACGGAGTAATCCTCTCCGGCTCGACGTTTCTTTGCGACTGAAAAATCAAATGATTTCAGTGCCTTAGAAACATGTTACTACACGATTTAATGTTTTTTTTTTGGAAAGAAATATGTTTACTAAATTTTCACCTTAGAATTTGACATTTGGACTTCTTCCTCACGGTCGAAATTGTACATGGAAGTCGTCGGGAGCCGATATTCGCCCTTTTCTTCGTCCGATTCGTCCAGATGAAGTCTGGAAGCCAAATTCAGTTGAACTTTTGAACCCGATTTCGTTCAAAATGTCTTTACGGTCGCACTTGGAATGGCTCAAAAAAGCCACGGTTTAACTTTTCAATTTCCTGAAAATTGTCAGCTACCGCATAGCCTCTAATTTGAATGATATCGTGCGCAAGTCATTTCAAGGTCCAATGCACAAAAACTCAAATACGCTCCGCAGCCGCAGGACATAAAACATTCTTATTGCGACCAGGACAGGGCTCATCAATTTACATCAAAATGAAAATTTTGAAAAAAAGAAAATCTTTTAAACTTCAATTTTCAACAACTCTCAACTTCATGGCCGCATTAGGAATGACCCAAAAAATCAATCGAGTTTGAAAAAAAATTCATATCGTTTTCAACAGTCAAAGGTTTCTTATGAAGCTCCCCTATGCTATAAAGCGTAAGCCGTTTCAAAGTCGGACGCGCTCGAATTCAAGCTTATTGGTAACCGCATTACGTAGTGACATTTGGAATGCTACCAAGAGAAATCTTGAAAATCTGTTCTCAAACCATTTTTCTGATTTCAAATATTCTTCTACTCACCCCGAAATGGCCTTGATATTGATCAAATTATCTCCGTCGAGGGTCGGAAGATTATCTCCAATGGCTCCGAAATCGCTGACGGCCCTCTGACGTCGGTTTGCAGCACGGCGCGGCGCCGGCGGCGTACGCGAAACTCCTGAAAAATAAATCGAAATACAATGAAACTTATTTTGATCAAATCCTGAAATTGTCAAAAAAAAAAGTCAAAAAGTCACACAATAAACCTACAGCACAAAGGTGAGAAGAAACAGATGAAAAAAATGATAGAAAAAAGGGAATAGTGAGACAGCAATACAGCATGAAGAGAGAAAGAGAGATTCCTATCTTCTCTTGCGTCTCTCCAGGTTCCTGTTGATCTCTCGCTTTGACTTTTTTCGAGTTATTTTATGGGTAGGAGCGTAAACACAATATTGGTCTGAAGAGACGTTAGACAAACAAATATCTCTCTTTTCGCTGGCGTCTCTTCAGACTGCGCGATCTCTCAGTTCTATTCATTTGGAGTTGTTTTTTGAGCGGAAATGAGAGAGCATCGTCTTTCAAAGAGAAAGCAGACAACGAGAAACATCTAACATCTCTGTGCTCTCTCAAGGTCGCCAGATCTCTCTAGCCAGAATAGCTTTCTGAAAAAACGCCAGAGATGAAAAGAAGGCTCGTTTCTCTGGCGTCCCTTCGGATTTTTCAGCTTCAGCATCACAAAAATGAACCTTTCTGTGCCTGGGAACTTCCCACCGATAAATTCGAAGCGGTTCCATTCGACGCCGTACTGTTCTTCTTCACATTCTCATGGGACACTGCAACAAAACGACCACAATCACAAAGGAAAAAAGCTTCGAGAAATTTTCCAAAAAAGGAAAGACTGGTAAAAGTGGACTGAAAAGACAGACACGGCTACTCTACAAGAAGAAGTTCTAAGCTGATAAAGCTGTAATAAAAATACTCATGAGGCTCATGCTTTTTTGAGAAACTATAATGAAAAAAAGCTTGATTACCAAAAGTCGCTTCATCTTCAAATTGAATAAAAAAGGGTATAAAAATGACCCTACACCTTTAGAAATTTCAAAATGGTAATGAACACACTAGACATCAAAATTTGGATATCGAACCATTCTTTGTCAAATTTTCAGTCAATCCAATGATCAACTTCTTTTCGTAGATTTTTACATTTTTTTTTCACTCAAGTTGAATAAATTTTGCGCCATATTCGACCCCTGAGTGTTACGAAACATTTTTTGGACACATTTGCTATTTATTTCAAAATTATTGTCTTTTCTTAAACATCTGAAAAATATACCGCCACGTTCATGACGAATAATTCCATCGAGACGAGCGATGGAAAGCGGAACCCGGGGGCCACATTGAGATACGAGTTCGACGGCTCTGTGGCGATCTTTGCCTTCCAGGGACTCGTCTCCAACTTTCACGAGGCGGTCACCAACGCAGAGACCCTAGAAATAAGTCGTAATGGAACCAAAATCTAGAAAGATTGATCAGAAAACGTAACTTTCGTAGAAAAAAAAACTAATTTCGAAAATTCTAAAAATTTTCCGTTGTAAACGCTTGACCTTGACTACTAAAATCAATAGTAAAAAGTTGAATCTCCGTAAATTAAACTTCACAGATTTTTGAAATCCCAAAGTCCACTTTTTTATCAAAAAAAAGAATGAACTCTCAGCTTGTCAAAAAGTTCGTTTTTCGAACCTACAAGTCCAAAAAAAACCTTTTCCTACAGTTCTTATCAAAGAGAGTACTCTAAAAATTCAATTAAATAACTATTTCAAACAAAAATTTGACTTGATATGTCACTTATTAACGCTTGCTATACCAAGGAAAATTTTAAAAAATTTGAAAAATCGTGCTTTTAGTCAACTTTTGCAGCTTTACTAGTTACTATTTGGCCCTTCAAAGCTCAAACTATAAAATTTTTGAACTCGTAAAAATCTCTTCCTTCAAATAAATAAGATCGAAAAAGGCACCGCTTTCATGCCGGCTCCATTGTCCGCGACCATTTTGACGTAGACGCCAGGAACTCCGTTCAGATTCCCATCGACCAACGTTAAACCCAGTCCGTTTTCTTCCTGAAAAACTTAGGGATTCATGCCGTCACATTGAGAAACTTGGAGAGGGAAACGATTTGGACTGAGTGATTCACTCAATTAAAACTAGAAGCTAGAGAAAAACCCTTGAATCTGATTCGCGGTGCAAATTCATTATTTGAACGTGACGATATAACCTTCCCCATAAACTTTGAGCTCGAAAGAATGAGAACTCTGAAAATAGGAAAACGAGGTAACTGGGGCGCCGTAGCGCAACAGGGCGAGTGCCTGCCTACGGTCCAAAGGGTCACAAGTTCGAACCCGCAGCGAACCAACCAAAATATAATAGTAGTGGGAAACCACGGCTTCTCAGGACACACAAGGAGGAAAAATTTACTAAATACAGTTCACTGATTATTACTTGTATCAGTATAGAATCCTGTCTCCTCGTATTAGGGCGGGTTAGACACTAAATTTTAACTTTTTTCAAATGTTTTACTTTTCTATCTTCAAAAAAATTTCAAACAGTTCCAAAGGCTTTCCAATCCTTCCTGGCTCTAGGCTTTATTTTTCAAGTGGTACAAAGACGTAAGACGAAAAAGGAGAATAAGATGAAATTTAACAAAAATGAAATTTCAATAAAAAAAGCAAACCTTGAGCAAAACGACGTCGAACTGCATCCCACGTGGCGGCTCTTCATCGTTGCTTTCTCCACGAGTCAAGCGTTCGAAGTTTTCAACTTGAGAGTCTGAATAATTCCCGAGATAAGATAGATCAGTTGAAGACGCAAAAAGCGATACACTTTGGACGTTCTCTTACTTCGTTACTCAAAAAAGTTTCATCTTCTCATTTTCGATTATTTCAAAAATCTCAAAGAACCTTATTAGAACACGGTGCAATGAAAGACAACTACAAACACTAGAAAAAGAGTGAAAAGGTAAAATCCAATATTTACCAACTTATAAGGGGACCTTTTAAGCCCCATACCGGAACTTTGAAACTAGGCTGAAGCAGTTCTAAAGTTCCAAATAGAGCTTCATATTTTGGGCAATTTCCGATCTTTGAAGTGTCAAAACTCAGAGAAACAAAAGCACATTTTTCTGGATTCCGGAGCCCACCATCAGCAAGTTTCATCATAATTTCAAGAGGACGCTAAAAAAGTCTTCTTGTTGGGTCAAATTCAAGTCAAGGAATGAGCTCACTATTGAACATCTAACGTTTATTTTTTGCTACTGTACCACGTCTTCCCAGTTTTTCTACACAATTATCATGCTCACTAGGTGCATCGATGTCGTCGACGGTGTCGTACTGGGGCAGTCGGGAGCTGGACGAGCTCGGAGCCGGGGGCGGGACGGCCAGAGGCCTCGCGGCTCCGCGAGCACTGGCCGGCGTCGCGGAGCCGTTCGTCGCGGGCGTCTTGGCGAAGACGGCGCTCGCCGAATCGAGCGGCGACTGTGGTGGCGTGTCTTCCAGCGACGCTGAACACAACCACAAATTCACACCTCTATAGTCTTCAGCTTCCCAAAGTGTTTCAAAGGGCAGAAACCTAAAATAATGCTGGAAAAGGCTCTTCGTTTGAAGACCTGGAAGCTGCTCCTTTAAAAACTCCAGAAAGCTGATGTGAACCAAGAATACGAATATCAAACTTGGGTAATTCGCAGAACACGATAGGCTACACTTTACTCTAAGGAAAGGTGCTCAGTTTTCAAAAAAAAAAGTAGTTATTCCCTTTAAAATATCTGATTTCTCTGCGGTCCTACCCCCTTCGGCGACAGTCCTCTGTATGCGTGCTATTTTTCTTTTTCTCTAACCTTGCCGGCGAGGGAAAAGAGACGCAGGTCAGTGGAAAATAAACTAAAGCTCATCACAGTTTTCGAATGCCTGCGTCTCTCTGTTTTCTCACAACTCAGGTCAGAGAAACAGGAAAATAGCAAGTCAACATCAGTGGGTCGCCGAGAGACGAGGAGAGCGCAGAGAAGTCCCGCCCTTTCAACTATAACTCCGAGAAAATCAATTCATAATATTCTAAAGTAGCTTTCGATCCAAAAGCACACGTTAAACTAAACGTTCTCAGAATCACTTTAAAAAATCGCCGCCGCATAAATCTTAGCCATTCCAATTGCGGACAGCATGAAAACGTTTCTATTCGCAACTCACGTCGAATCGGAAGCGGGGCGACTTGTCGGCCTTCGACACAGACGTCAGGCATCGACTGCATGGTATTCTCGAGCCGGAGGGTGCTCTTCCACTGTCGCATCTTCATCATGAACCGATGTTGAGACGCGGCAAACTTGACAAAGTAAGCGCTTCTGAATTTTATACGTTAAAGAAAAATATTTGAAGCCTTTCTGGATTTTTTTCAAGCTTTAAACCTAGACGTTAACCTGCCCCTTCATTTTTCGAGGATTTTATTCAGTTTGCGCTTAGGAAAAGTCTAAAAATCGGCCAGAACACTTTTTGATCTACCAGATGAAGAACTTGGAGGTCTCAACCTGCACGACTTCCTGGTTTTGAAAAACAAGGGCACAAAGTCTCAAAATGGTTCATTCCAACTGGTTTTAATGGTCCATCTCAATTTTGGTGTGTTTCCCTCCAAAGATACAAAGCTTCACAGGTTGAGATTCTCCTAACCTTCATTTAGGCCTTCAAAAAATTTCCTGGTCAATTTTCAGGAAATTCCCGAGTGACCTTCCTTGTCAATGATATGACGAACCCGTACTTCAAAACTTGATGAAAAATAATCAAAAATAGATTCAAATTGAAAATTTCGAAACAAAGTTTCCTAGTGTATTGACAAAATAATATGGACTTTTAAACTTCAAAATTTTCGAGAAGCTTTTCACTGATCCCTTTTTACCAATTTTTTGAAAAATCGATGTATTCACTTTGTATGGTGATCGGTGTAGAAGGTGCTCTCCATCTGTTCTTCCGTCACTCCCAAGGCGACGATGACGAATCTCTTCTTGTCGAATTGCAAGGTCTGCGTCTGCGGCCACAGGTGTTCGGCCAACAATTCTCTAGCGCCACCCTGAAGAAAATATAAAATATTTGGAAACCGTGAATTTTACAAACTACAAAGGGTACACTCTTCAAAGAACCTCGAGCAAAAATCTCGAAAATTCTACATTAAACTGTTTCACAGGGGATAAAGCAGCACATAAAAGTGAGTGAAAACTTTCAAGACAAAGGGATTTTGGCTGTACACAAGAACTTCAGCTTGTCATCGTAGACTTGGGTAGAAATTTCCAAAAATATTTGAATTTTTTATTCAGATCTAGAATGGCTCAAAGCGTTGTGGCGAGTCGCATTGAAATCAGGAAAATATTCACATTAACCGCCAAGCAACCGCAACGCATTGAGCCATTCCCTATGCAGCTATCAAGCTTTAAATAGGGAGAAATCGACTTTATTCAAACTTTCTGTGCAATATTGAAAATCTTTTGATATACAACTACGAAACGTCAACTAAGAAATCCCAATGAACATTTTTGAACTTTTTTCTTAAAAAATTTAAAATAACTATAAAAATCAACGAACAAACAGAGGAATGAGAAAAAGAACAATTTTCCGAAAGTCTCTTCAACTTTCGTATTTACCTCCATCGCAGTTATCATATATTTGTTGGGGACATGCCGATTCTGTAACTGTCACTCTATCGTAAGAGTGTTCTCTTTTTTTTTTTCATATTAAATTTTAAAATATTTATCAACGGTAAATTGTTCAAAAATATTTCTAAAAAATAAGATGTATTGAAGGACCTACACACTTCAAATGGTCCTTTTTTCGAGAATTTCGGATGGTGCGAATTTTCGGATTTATCCGCATCTCTATGGTAATTTTCAAATAAACCCCTTGTTTTTTTTTTCTGCTTCCCATCATTTTCCACTTTTTTTTTCTATTCTTTGTGAGCCTATTTTATTTTTCGTAAAATGACTTTCGAGACGTGAAAATTACAAAAAAAAAAACCCGGAAGTTCTCTAGCTAAAAGAAAAGTTCAAAATCCAAAAATTTCAATGGGCTACACCGTTCGAAATTTAGCGGGTCCTGTGAAAAACCCATGGAGTCTTTTCGAGCAAACTACATATAAATTGAGGTGAGCTCTTCTAAAACCTGTTCTTCATAGATCCGGATGCCTCTCGGCAGGATTCCAATCCAAAGAGACGATCCAGTGTCCGGATCAAAAGGTGAGGCTCCGTGGGAGGTCGTTGGCTTGGTCCGGAAGACCCTGTGGAGGTGACAGCCGAAATCGCCGTGCTTTTGGCAGATCTGAAGACAAAAACGCCTTTTTCATCGAATTTTAATCAATTTATCAAGTTTTCATGCAACTTCATGAACTTTTAAACCTATTTCTTTGAATTTTAGTTTACCAATTTAATCGTCTTTTCAGCCAACTTTCCATTCGAAATCCTCAAAACTCACTTGAATATATTTATTCTCCGACTCCTCCCGCCTCGTCCCGCCATAATGACCATGTAGTTCGGATAGAAGAAGTTGCAACCGTTTCGGATCTTCAAAGGAGCAGAATCTCTGAATAAATTATCTATGATTCAAGAACGGACATATCAGAAAAACCTTGGGCAAGTAGTGTTGAATGTCGAAATAATCGACGATAACAGGAGGGGGTCGGTTGCCGAATTCGGCCTGAAAAATAAACATTTTTGATGGAAACTTTCTGAAATTTCTTTGAAAACTTCATAACGTTAGAAAAAGTCATTTTTCTAAAATTGAAAAAGTCGGTTCGACTAGGACCATTTTCAAAAATTTTTTAGATTTTTTTTCAAGCTCAGAAATACAAAAACCAAAAAAAAAAGGTCGAACGAAGACCAAAACTAATTTAAAAAAAGGGCAAAAAAATGATAAAAAAAATATAGTTCCCTGCATACACAGACTGTCTAAGATTCTCGCTTCTGGAGAAAATTCTCAAAGTTTTTAAAAGGAATTTATGATTTTTCAAAGGAATAGTTTAAAATCAACCAACGGAACTCAAAAAAGACCAAAGACATTAAAAAAAAATACAAAACCGGAAAAATCCTATATGCAACAACTTTCCCAAAGGTCATTTTCATACACGCCCTTTCTGCAAACTGTTTCAAATTAACAAAAATGGACTAAAATTGTCTAAACTGGACAAGAACTTTCTAAGTTCTTTGGGAATCCTCAACTTCTCAACCACATTTTTGACGTTCTAGAACTCTTTTTTTCTGTACCTGAAGAGCCAAAGCGGCCAGTTCAAAAGCGGCGTCTCTTTTCGGCTGTATCCTCTCCTCGATGATGTCTCGACGGCATTGAAGGTAGAGCTCGTGCATGGTGACGTCGGTCCTGAACATCATTGGTTCAACCCGTTTTTATTTATTTATTTTATTAAAAATGTAACTTTTCAGAGTTTCCTGTTTTTTTCCATCCCAGCTTTCAAATTAGAATATGTCAGATAACCCTTTTTTTAAAACTGACACCCCAGGGTTGAAAACAGGCTTTACTGAGGGCCGGCCTGTCATCCTATTGGGACTGTGGTTATTTTTTCCGAGCCCGTCCAAACCTCAAGCAATACTTCGGACTTTGGTAACGTGAATCGGACATGTCGGGGCATTTCTAGTGACTACTTTAGTAGCTTCGGAACTCTTTTTTTCAAGTCAAATATAGACTTTTGTACAACAAAAATCACGATTTTGGGTCTTTTCTGAACTAAGATATCATCAGAAACTATGATTTAACCAGAAAAACAATTTTTCCGCTGAAATTTTTTTTGATGGCATGTGAAATTTCTTCTGAAGCCAGACCTGGTCTAAGCCCGCGAAGGCTTTTCCGCTAAAAATAAGGCGAAAATCCCGGCTCAGCTTGACTGGTTTAAGTTTGGTTTAATGGAGCGCATTTTACACATTCCCTACGGCCATTTTCGATAAAAGACTTTTTGGGAAGAAATCTATATTTAGGACATTCTCTCCACTAAAAAAATATGAAAAAAGCTCAATTAAACCGAAAAAAATTTCCATAAAGCGCACTCGAAAAAATCATTTCCATTTCTATTTTCTTGGAAAAGTCTCCACAAGAACAATACAAACTTGATAAAGTCCAAGATCTGGGGATAGAAGCGGAATCTCAAGTGGAGGACGTATTGGATCCGAACGCCGGTCCGACTGAAACTTTTCCAGCCAGGAGGCGCGAATTTCTCCAATTTCTGGTGGTCTTCCACGAAGAAGTGCTCGCCATCTGGAAAAATTCAATATTCACATTCAAATATACGTTTTTTCTGAAACCTCTCAAGAAGGTCAGCCCGAAGAAGACGTGCTCATTCAGATTCATGTGCTGGACAACTAGGAAGAAGATGTCGCGGGCGACGACGTCAGATCGGCAGGCGATCTGGAGATGAACATTTTTCGATTTCTAGATGCGAAATAGTGATGTTTTTCCGCGAAAAAAGGCGGAAATGAGAACTTTTCAAATAAAAGAGATTTTCAACTAAGAAGACGTAGTTATAGAATTCTGTCCATTTTCTTCTCTTTCTTCTATTTTGGCCAACATAGATCAGAAAAATCTCAAAAATGTCAATTATCTTCGCGTCTCTAATTTTTTTTTTGCTGTTTTTCTAAACTAATGTAGCTTAATTACAGATACTTTTCTGTTCTTTATTCTCCCAAATGGGTATAATTTTGGAGAAATCTACTTATTTCAGAGTGGAAATATTCCTTTAAACTCTCTCTTTCGCAGTTTTTATATCTGATACTCAGGTCATAGAAAAATTAATAAAAATCGATAAAACTCCAGTATTTTCTGAAGAAAAACTTTTTTAAAAAATAATCCGAAGGTCTAGAAAACGTCTAATGTACATAGTTGATTCTGAACAGCTTCCTGAATAATTTTTTGAAACAACTTACTCGTGCCTATAAGGCATTTTCGAGATATTTTCGAATCACGTTCATCAAATCTTTATTGGTTTTTTCTTCTGAAAATTTTTTTTAACAACAAGTCCTTTTTAAAAAATTCAAAAAGTTCTCGCCTGAGTATTCAACGTTAACACTATACTTCAGGCGAAATAGTTGTTCTAGTTTCATTTTGTGGTTATCAACTTATCCCTTTTCGTTTCCTAATCTAAAAATGAATCATCGAAGTTTAATCTCGTGAAGTTTAATATCCAAATTCCGTTTACAACTTCAAATTTATGAAATTCTAGCCAGCTGAATAAAAACTGTTCTAAAAATTTTTGAAGAAAACTTTTTTGATTTTTAAAAACTTCGAAAACTTTTTTTACTTAATTCTTAAATGGAATATCGTTTCGAAATGGATGTAGTCCTAATATTTCTTTTTCGATACGAGATTACCTCGACTTTTTGTCCATTGAGCAGCTCAACGACGACTTCCGTGTCTTCAACACGATGAAGGCTCATTTTTTTCTGGAAATTTCAAAATTTAAAGTTTTTTTCTTCGAAAAAAAAAAAAATATTCAAAAAACTGGAAAAAGCCAAAAAAAAAGATAAAAAACAAACTCTTTTTTCGCACTGGGCGCCCGAAGACGAATGCTGGTCCGCGTCAAATCGTAGAACTCGGGCATGGCGCGCGTCTGAATTTCGATACAATTTAATTTAAGGAGGGGACCCAAAGGGAGGCGTTTCAATTTGGTTACGGCGCTGCGAAATCATCGAGGTTTCTTTTTTGGAAAACAAATGAGCTAAAGAGATAAATTTTCAGATTTTTTTATCACAATTCATCAAGTCTCATAGAGAAGTGAAAAAAATACGAAAATAGGAGGAGAACAATTTAATTTTTCTCGGGTTAAGTCGTTCAATAAAAATAAATTCTCCAAAAATTTTTTTAATTCAAAACTATCGATCAAAATTCCATCGAAAAAAATTCAAGTTTAGTTAGATTAGGCGCAGGCGTGGCCTGCGCCCTATTTAAGGGACAGGATTAGAACCTTTGGAACAGGATAAATATCGTTATAAAAAAAACGGGAAAAAAAAATCGTAAATTTCGTCTTTTTTTCTGTTAAAAAAACGAAAATATTTACAAAAAAAATTTGCCTTGTTCCAAAACTGTTCAAAATTGCTTTCTAAAACGATGCCACATGAAGGATCTTTTTTAGTCGCCCTGTTGAACTTTGACAAACTTGGCTGAAGTTCACCACAAGAAATCAACAAAAGATAAACTTTTAGATTACTGCTTTTCAGTCGGATTACGACCCTTTGAAGTGCGCAAACTAACCGTGAAAAAATTCTATTTTTGTTCTGTGATCAAGAGATTTTAAAAGTAACCTCAGTCAAGTTCCAAAAAAAGACCAGCCGCAAGCTTAAAGAAGCTTCCAAGGTCAGTAAAGTGGGATCAGCATTATCCTATTGATTATAATACCTTTCGTTTGCCGCGAAGACTGGCCCGGACACTGCCGCGAGTCGACCGCCGTCCGCTGATCCGCGACGGAACCAGCGAGTTCTTCCGTTGCAAAACTGGGGGAAGCGGTTCTGAAAGTCAACGGAAGTTGTGGACGTAATAAATGAATCAAACTGAAACTCATAATATAAAAGTTTTTGGGGGAATTTTGTTATTTTCTACAAATTTTCTGTAAATTTAGCTGATCGTGTTCTTTATTATGTCCTGTGCAAAATTTTTAGGTCTTTAAATTATAAAAATTTCAAAGTTCACATTTTATCTATAATATTTTTTTCAAACTATCTTATGAAAAAGCCTTTGAAACGCTAAAAAAATTGAAAAAAATCGAACATTTTTAATTTTTGAGCGTTTCTCAACAAAAGTCATATAATTCAACTAAAAAAATCTTAAAATTAATTAAATAAATCATAAAAATCTATTGAAAACCCATCAGTCAAAAAGGCAAAATCGGGAAATTTCAAGAACAAGGTTCGCGACGTAAAAATACGTAATTTATTCATTCTTTAATCCTCGAGTTTCAAGTATTTCTTAACAGGGGCGGCTTGGAAAAAAAGGCGGGGCTCCAATATTTTTCAAAAAGAAAGAAGCATATCTTTTTTTAACAGTAACATGGAATCATGAATTCCATTAAAAATCCCATCAACCAAGGGGCTGAATCGGGAATTTCGAGGACAAGGTTAAGGAAGAATGCAACGGGGAAGATATCACGTAGGGAAGACGTCGGCGTGTTTCCAGCCAACGGTCAACGCGAATTATTCGTTTTTGCATGACAAATGAGCGCGGTCAATCACACTGTGTAGCGGGGAGAAGAGGATGAAGAACAAGACTTTCGGATAAAAAATAACAAATTCAGATAGTTTCGAAAAAGATGTACAGCCGATTCACGGTCAAATTGGGACTCTAAGGGGCGTGGCCTGTCTCCTTTTTTTTTTATCATGCCAGGACCCTTTTTTTGTAGCTCAAGCCAGCCGTGAATCAGCTATTACCGAAGTTTCAAACTAGCCAACATAAAGGACTCATTCGAGTCATAATGAGGTGAGCCTTCCAACTTTTTTTCAAGGGCTTGATTAATTTTTTTTTTTTCACTATTGCTCTCGTTAAAGCTATGTCCTTTAAATTTCACTTTCCTTTCTATGTACCCAGTAAGATGAATATTTAATAAAATCGGGTGGGTGAAAAATTTCTTCTGAATTTTTTTTTTCTGTTACCAAAAACGATTCATTTTTTCTGGGAAGCGTCCTAAAATCACTTAAAACTTGCTATTTGAAATTTTCCTAAACCTTTTTCAGAGCAATATGTTTCTCACCTGAAAGTTCTTAGAAAAGCCAAAAAAACTTCCTTTTTAAAAAGTACACAACTTGAAAAAAAAAAAAAAAATTAACCTAATTCTCGGAAACTATGATTTTAAAAGCTCTTGTGGACAAACTTTCTACAGTTTGCTTAAGAATTCCTATTCATACATTTTCAAAGCTTCTACTGCAATAATAATCAAGCATGATTCACTTCCAGCTACATCTCAAATTTTAGATAAATCGTAAAAGCAATACAAGTTAGAAATATTTGTTTACCGCCTAACAGCTCAATGTAACCAATAGTAACGTTATCGACTAGTGGAGCTTTTTCAAAAATTTCAAAACAAGTCTAATCCTCTTTTAATGAGTGCAACGTCGTACTTACGCATCATGATAAATTTGAAAAACTGACTTTTTGAGTTCTATCCCTACGTAAAAATATCTGAAGATTTCTAGAATACCTCCTTTATAATGATAAAAAAATCTATTTTTTTCTCTTAATTTTTTTCATTTTTTTCTCATTTTATTTTTTTATAGAAACGTGATATTTTTGAGCTGTTACTGAAGTAAATTGTGAAAATGAAGAATTTTTTTGAAATTTTTAGTCAACCTCCTCTAACTTACATCTTTAGAATTATCCCCACATTATAAAGTTAAGAACTGATCGGAAGATCTTTTGACGCCTTTTTAGGAACAGTTTCAGGCCCTCTTCTTCTTTTTTGAGATCTACGGTGGATCCAAAAAAGTTCTCTCTCCATTTTCTTATGTTAACTCTTTATCTAAAACTAGACCCTAAACCGATACCTTCTTGTGACGATCTGATCCGATCGATCGATTCTGGAGCCGGACTTCGAACTTCGGCCAAAATCGGCGTCGGTCTTGCGCCGGGAGCCATATTCTCCGAGTTTTGCTAGAAACAAAAAATCAAGGAATTTTATGGAGGGAAGGGATTTTATGGGCTTGCAATAAAACTGAATTTCCTTCAGACCTTTTTGTATTGGTTGAAGATGTCATCAATGTCCTCGTCTTCTTCCGCTTTTTCTTCAGCTTCTTCTTCTGATTCCACTATCCGTTTTTCGATAGGCTTTTTCGAGACTGGTAGGGATGGGGATCGGTTCTCCTGGAACTTATTTTGGTGAGACTTCAAAGACAAGGCAATCATGATAGTCAGACAAATTGTAACCAGAATTCTGATAAATATGATTTATAGAAGAAAATACTGTAGAAATCCTAAAGGCTAAAAAAAAAAGGAAAACAAAAATCTTTAAAAGTTGCAAAATCTTTTTTCATGTTCTACCCTCTCACCTTTTTTTTCTGACTGTTTCTCCAAGTCTTTATCTTTCACCCCCCACTTCTGATTTCAATTTTTCTTCGTGGTCAAAAAAACTTCACACACACATTCCAGGGATGAGCGGAAGATATACAAAACTCATATTAAAAATTGAAAACCCTGACTTTTTCAACGATTTTTTAGCCTTTTTAGTTCCTAGTATCGCAAAATGATGGTTCCCATCATTCATGTGAACAAGTTTGTTTTTTTTTCATTCATCAGAACGATTTTTTTTTCCAACTCACCATGATGACAACGGCCTCCACAGGCTTGGGTTTCACATCCAGGTCCAATCGATCCCTTTCAAACTCGGAATCGTCCGATTCGTAGCCTTTGGAATCGGAAGTCCGACTTCTGTCAAAGGCGGCCGAGTGTCTTTGCCTTGAAACTTCTTGTGGCACTTCTGGAAAAAGGATTTCTTTTATTGGATCTATTGTCCAGTGATCTATTTTTTTTGTGATAATTACAACACAAATAAAAAAAATTTGGAACTTTGAAAGCTTGAAAGAAGATTTCTTAATGATCAAAAAAAAAGTTCATAGTCTCTTCTTTTTGTAAATCAAACAGTGAAAACTTGAATTTCATTAATTTTTATCAATCCTTCATCGTCTTCCCGACCGAAAAACTGAGCGAAAACTTGACTTTTCTTGTCATAAGATTTTAAAAAAACCGTACGTAAGCTTTTTTCCACTCTTTCCGGAAGGATAAACTTTCTTTGGCTTTGAATTATCCTTTTTTATTTTTTTCAGTCTTGTTACCCATACTTTTTATTTCCTCTAAAAGAAAAGTTTGAACTAAAAAAAGGTACAAAAAAATGTCAAAAAAAGAGGAATTTTCAGGCCTTTTTAAAAAGTTGTCTAGGTTACTGTAACCTTTATTTCAGATGTTATCATGATTTTCCTTTTTTTTTTCTTTTTTGCCCCCATTTTTTTTCAAAAAACCATTCTTCAAAACAAATATCCTCTACACACCATCATATTGCGGTACAGATCCGGCGGGCAGAGAATTGCTGGAGGCGGCGGAAGGGCGATGGCGAGCCCGATTGGCCCGCAGAGCCCTCTGAGCCTCTTCGAAAGGCGTCAGTCCGGGCTCAGGAACGATCGGCGCGTACCGATGCTGAGGTGATCGATCTTCTGAAAACCTTCAAATATTCACGAAATTCCAGATCTTCTACCAATGTCTTGATCTTCCTCCTCGTAGAACGTCTGAGCTTTCTTGATTCGTTTCGGGGCAGAATCAACAGCGAAAAAGCCTTCATCCTCGTCAGGAACATGGGCTTCCACGATTTCTTCCGATGACGAGGAGAATCTTAAGACAGTTAGTTTTTTTATTATTATTAAAATTTTTCAAAACATTGTCTACTTTAAATTTACTAGAAATCTGCTTTCTGAAAAAAATCGTCAGAATCCCGGAAAAACCGAAAGAAAAAGCTGACTCAAAAAAACCGTTTTGGTTACCCTGGACCAGTTTTTTTCGTATATTTTTGATTCGAACATTCAACTTAAACTTAAACCATATTTTTTTATAGTTTTTTTAGGTCTTCCTGGTCTTTTCGTGTGATCCAAAATTTAACGTTCCAAGTTTTCTATTTAATTGCGAAAACCCAATTTTGGAATTAAAAGAAGGTTCAGATCTTCTGAACAGTTCCCGAGTCTCTCGAAACCTTCCTGGTTCAAGGCGCACTTTTCTTCAAATACTTTTTCAACAGTTCCAAAAGAACTGAACTTATTGCCATTTTTTTGTATCCCTTACAGACTCATTTAGTCATGAAAACTCCAAGAGAATTCCTTCCATGTGATAAGATCGAAAATTCAACGTTCCAAAAGTTTACTACCTCGTTACCTAGTCCAAAAAGTCCGAATTCTCGAGAGTTTCGAAGTCTTTCTATTCCTTCCTGGTCCAAGGCTCATTTCTAAATAGATTTCTGAACAGCTTCAGGGTCACTAAACCTATGAGCCAGCTTTTTCTTAGGAACCCTTACAGACTCATCTAATCATTCCAGCATCAAGAGAGTTTCTTCCTTGTGATAAGATCAAAAATTAAACGTTTTTACAAGTATTTTAGTCCAAAAAACCCCACTACTGAAAGAAAAGCTTCTCTAATCCTTGCTCATCCAATTTTCCTTTTTTCAAAGTTTTCCGAACAGCTCCAAAGCACCAAACCTATGAGCCAGTTTCTTCTTGGTGGCCGTCTCAGCGGGCTTCTTCTTGTGCGGCTCGCTGCCGGAGCTCTCATCCTCGAAGGGATCCCTTCCGGACAGAGTTCCTCCGTGTTCGGTTTCGTCCTCGTCGAACGGATTCATCGGGATATTCCGCGGCGGTGACGTCACTGTCGTCGTTGGTGTCGGCGGCTGGACTACCGTAGTCGGCACCGTACTTCGATCGTTTTTCATGTCGACAAAATTGTCTTCAAATGCCGTGCTTCTAAAAACTGTCCGCTTTGGAAAAAGCTTGAAAGAGATAAAATATCACTTATTATCTTCCTAGCTTCATTTTTACTTATACCTTTCTTAAATGAGGATATTTTTAGCTTTTAGAGCAAAAAATGTCTGGTTTCTCTGACGTCTCTTCAGGTTCTGTTGATCTCTGGTTTTGGCTTTTTTCCAACCATTTTTGAGATGGAAAAATCCAAAAAAATTTTTCAGACTCACATAAAAATTTTTTTCTAAAGAGTTCGAGAAAAATCATACCGAAACTTCAAAAATTATGGTCCTAGAGCCAAAAATTACATCTTCAAAAATATAAGAAAAATCTGTAAAATTGCTAGCGAAAAACTATCTGAGATAAACTAACTAAAACCCTAGAAAAATCACCTTCTCCGATGGATCCACCGAAGGAAACGACACAATAATGAAAACATCTACAGAAAGAGGGACAAAACTCGGACCGATTGAAAGAAATATCGATGCTCCTCTCCTCGATGTACGACGACTCGTTGATGCGCGTACTCTGCGACAGCGGCGACCCGATATTTCCTGGAAAAATACCGGTTTTTCTTTGTTTCACAGGAGACGATTGAAATCGCCCAAAAACAACGTCTAAAATTAGCACCTAAAGAAGTTTCCTCGTAGTGGCTCGCCGACGTTGGCGGAGGTGAGGGAGGTTTTTGGGTAGGTTCAGGCTTGGCTGACGTTGAAAACGCGGCTAAAAGGAGCTTTATAGGCACGAAAAACTTTTTCTGTTCTTATAATAGTCAGCTTATTGGGGCTCCGGTCATTTTTTCCGAACCCGGCCTCAGCGAGGCCTCAAGCACTAACTCGGATCTTGGTAACGCGAATTGGACGTGTCGGGGTTTCTAGTGACCACTTTAGTAACGTCAGAACTTTTACATGATCCCTGAAATTGCTCAAAAACGTCCGGCTTCGGTACTGAGGTTCGAGAACCGGCCAAAAAATTCAAATTTTGTTGCAAATCCAAAATTCAAATTCAAAGTCAAATATCAAGCATTTTTCACCAAAAAAAAAAGTTTTGCTCACTTTTTCACATTTATTTCAACAGAAACTACGATTCAACAAGTAAAAATATGGAAAAAATGTTTTTAATGAAATCTTAAGTTTTTTTTTTCGAAGCCTGGCCCAAGCTTTCTCTTAAAAATAAGGCCTAAAGCTCGGGCCGCTCGGCCTGACGCACAAGCCTGATAATAGTCAAAGATCCCAGATACTCAATTTTCCGTAACTCGAAATATCATGAAATCCTCCCGACTTCGAGACTTCTAAACTATGCTAAAAGATGGCACCGGGCGCAAGTAGTTTCAGGTCGGACGCGCAGAAATAGTTAGTTCTCAAGTATTGACTTTCAACATTATATCAGATAGATATAGTGTTTTTCCCAACTTTTTATAGATTCCTTGTCAAAATTAAAACTAGTCATTAGGAGAGAATGCTCAAAACGTTCAATTGAAAAAGAAAAGCTTGAGATTGTGACTTTGATTTCGAGCTTTTCAAAATCTTCAGTAAAATCAAAAAATGTACTTTTTGGAACATGTTCATCGAAGAATCCAAATGGAGACGTCTCTTTTTGCGTGCTGTTGCCAGATGACGTCGAAGTTGAAGCTCCGGCTGAAAAATTCCAAAAAAATTTATTTCAAGGAGGATCAATCAGTTTTTCCATAATGTAGAAAGGTGACGAGTTTGTGAATTCAAAACCTTTGGTTCACTCCTTTATCTAACTTTTGAAAAATCGTCGTTTTTCCCCCAAAAATAAATTGTTCGTCATCTTTTAAAAAAATCTGTGCGTCTGAAAACTCTCTCGTTTTCGCCTGCTATCTCTCTAATCGATCCAAATCTCAACACATTCAAAAAACAGTATTATTGTTTAATTCACATTTTAGAATTTTTTTTTTACTCCAAAAAATTATACCCCTACAAAGTTTATAGTTTCAAAACCCTTTGTTTGGTTCTATTTTTTGTCCCATTAACTTATTTTTCAAAATTCTGACCCCGGCTCTCCTCTTCGTAGTACTCGGTGGCGTGCTTGACGGCAGTCGGCACGTGATTCAAGTCGTCCCTTAAGTGACTTCCATCCATCGACAGGATTTCCTCGTCGTCAAAGTCCATCATGTCGTCGTCGAGCTTGAAAATTTAATTTTGACGATGGTTTTATGAAGTTTTTTTAAGATCCCATCTGAAAAGATAGCTAAATCTCTATACATGTTCCTCCTTCTCACCTTTTTTTCTGAATACTTCTCTAATTGCCCCCCATTTTTTTGGACCCTCATTTTGGAAGAAAAAAAGGCAGAAAAAAAGGTAATTTTTCTAAACTTTCTCAAAAAAAGGTAGAGAAAAGTTTTTTTAATTCTGATAAAACCTCAACCAATTCTATCATATGACGTCAGGAATGCGGACACAACTTTTTGGAGCCATTCCCTCTTACTGTAGCCGGGTTACGGTAAATCACGTGCGGGTCTAAGAATTGACCTTTTTTTTAGGCTCGTAGTATCGTTAGGCAATGCAAGTTTAGGAATATTTCAGTTATTACCGTCATGGGTTACTGTAGAAAATTTTTTAGATACGGTACTTTTTTGCGCTTTCAATGATAGTTTTCTGGTCACCGTTCACACTGGTCGAAAATTATTCAAAAAAATTTTCCTGTACTTCTTGATTTCGAGAATTACAGAGACATCGTTATAAAAATCATTCTAACATCTTCTTTTCTTATACTTTAAATAGGAAAAACTCTGATTACCCTATTTTCATCCTCATCGCCCATCAGCTCTTCATAAACACACATCAACATGGAAGCGGGGTCACGTCCGCGTAGTTGGTTCCTGTGAAGAAAAACTTATAACTAAATTATATATTCTTGGTATAGTGCGTTCCGAGCGAGATAGTCACGTTTCAAAATAACAGAATAGAAAAAGTTACCTTAAATACAACCTTTTGCTCTAAAATCTCGTCAAAGAGCAGCAAAAAACGAAGATCTTAAAGCGAAAATGCTCAGTTTTGATCTATTTTGGTATAGGCTATTTTCGGCAGGAAGAAAAACGTGACAAGCTGGCGCGGAATAGGCTATAAGGCTACTGTGATTTTTCAAAGAAAGGTCGAAATCTTCAATCTTTTTCGTACAAAAACCCGGGTCTGAGCTAAAAAATTCGAATCTTTAAAAATTTGAATAATGGAAAAAGATTTTTGGAATGCAAAATTCACGAATATCCTCGGACTCAAAAATTCCTCCTTACTATCAAATTGGACGCCTATTTTACCTTGCCATTTGGCCCATCCGATGAGCCGTCGGCCTCGTTCCAGTCATGGCCACGGTCAGGATGTTCACAAGAGAGAACAAATCCACGTCGGAGGCTTCTTCGGCGCCGGCGGCGCGAAGAACGGCGCCGATACAATATACGGCCGCCGCCTGTGGGTCTTCTTCGCCTTTCGCCCATTCTGGCGGCACGAATTCTCGGCCGACTGAGGTTGATGGCACGGCTTTGATCTAAGAATGAAAAACGTGAGTTCTTTCATTAGAGCAACAAAAAAAATTGAAAATTTAGCCCTTAAGTGATAGCTCCAAAAGATATGTTTCCCTTCCGTGATAATTCGAAAAAGTTAAAGAAATTAAGAAATTAAATGAAATTTCACGGAAGACGAAAAATAAGTTAAATTGAATTGGCTGAGAGTTAAAATAACGAACTGTGAAAAAGGTACGAATCAAAATAGAAGCTTTTTAAAAATGGCAGAGACTCAAAAAAATATTCAAAAAAAAGCTGTCAGAAAAATCAATGAGAATGAATTTTTGTTCAAAATAAATGAAAAAAAGCCTGAGAGAACAAGAAAAAAAGCAGAGTAAGATAAAACTATTCGTTTTTCAAGAAGAGTCGTAAAAAAACCGAAAAATTAGAGATTTTATATATTAATTAACATTTAGGGAGAGATAAACAATAGAAACATGATAAAAAGAGTGAAATAGGGTAAAAAAATCTTTTAAAAAAACCTTTTCAGAGGAAAAAAAGGAAGAAAAAAAGAAAAAAATCTTTTAGTAGTAAAAAAAGTCTTCTTTTTTTCTTAACTCTCTGGAAAAACCTAAATCTAAACTTTTTATTAGGCTTTTTCCGAAGAAAAAAACACTTTTTCCATCGTTTTATTGAGCTTTCAAAAATTTTTTTCGTACTAAAAAGTCTTGAAAAAGGTGCTAGAAAGTCTTTTGAAAAAAAAAATCTTTTTTAGATTTCAATTCAGTTTTTCAAACTTTTTACTGGTGAAGTGGCATAGAAACCACTGAAAATGTGAAGAAGTCACCTCAACAGTTCCCTTGCTCGAAATGAAAACATTATCCAAATCGAAAGCGGTTCCTTTGGGACATGGCGGAAGCCGATCAGCTGCGGAAACCGCCAAGGAAAGCAGTTCCGGGGCGTTTAAACCATAGCCACGGACCTGAAAATCAATATTAGTAACCTTTTGAAAAAGTTAAGATCATGAAAAGGATAGAAAAAATTATAGATAAATAGAAAAAATGCCTCAGAATCTACTGCAGCGTATGGAGAAAGAGATTCAAGAAGCACATAAATTTTTCCCAAAATAACGATTAAGCTCAAAAAAATCACAAAGAATATTGGAAGAATCTAGAAATTTATTTTTTTATTTTTTTATTTTTTGAATTTATTTTTTTGAGTACACTTTTTCGAATTTTTCCGAGCAAAAAAATTTCGAGAAAGCTCCACAAAAAAATCCTTCCAAAAACTAAATTTTGCGTGATTTTTATACAGGCCAAATATATTACTTCTAAACAGAAAAGTTCTGAAAAATTAACTTTGTTTTCCCCATGAAGCAGAAAAATCAAAAAATATATATCATCATGAAAAAATCAAATTTAATTAAAAATTCAATTCTGTCCTCAAAAAAAAAAAAAATAATAATAACAGCCTCCGTAATATTTTGTTAAAATTTCATTCGATTTTTCTCAGTTTTTCAACAGAATAATTCAAGGTAGAATATCAAAAAAACCAACCTCGCAAACTTCCGCAATGCTAACCTTGACATCGGGCGGGGTCATCACGTTATTCACTTTTTTTAATATTCATTAAAAAGAAGTTAAAAAAATTCAATTTCTATAGGGATAGTTGAATTAGTGCGACCAACCGACCTGAAATCAAAATTTGAAAATAAAAAAAGAGGAAAAACGAAAAAAGAGAAAAAAAAACGGGAAATACAAAAAAAATCGAAATTTCCCAGCGATGACTCATTTCTCAATTTCACGCTTTCAAGAAACATTTTTTTCGTTTAGAAAAGATAGTTTTTGAAAAATTAGAAACAGAAAAAAAATTTTTTTATTCACAAAATTCAAACTCCCGCTCTCTCCAATGATTGTCAATAGGTCGCACTTTCAAACTTTATAAACATTTTTTTCCGGTTTCATAGATTTTTTTATCTCAATCTTTGAATTTTTTTCTCCTTCTTAAAAATGTTCAACAGGATCAAAAATCTAAAAGAATCGACGAAAAAAAAAAAAATTAACGTGGTCATGGAATTTCAACAACCTTGAAACGAGACACAGATAAGACCCTGCGAAATCGTTCCACCCGATAACATGGGTATAAACGGTTCGAAATTGATTTAATCGAATAAATTTGCGTTGGAAATGAGAGAAAAAGATGAAAATTTTTCAAAAAAAGGGAGATAAACATTTTTAAAAAAACCATTTTTTTGATTGAAACGGATTTGAGATCCTTCTGATTGACTGGAAGAATAAATATGAGAAAAATGTGAATTATTGATTAATTCATAGTTCATAAATAGATTTGAAGCTCAAGAGCTCTAATTAATCAATTGAAAAGAAGAAGAAAAGCATCTTCATAATTGATAAATGAGCTATAATTTCAGATTTTGCACTGATTCTCAATTATCTTCTGAATATATTGTCATTCAGGCTGATTAATTGAATTGAAGAACAAATTTTAAAAATGAAAAATATGACTAAAACGTCTCAAAATGAACTTTTTTTGAGCCGATTAACAGTGATTAAAAATAAATCAAACAGCAAATAAATTGAATATAGTCGATTAAAAAAAAAGTTCTTCCAAAAATTTTTTCCTGAAGTTTATAAAGGCGCACGGCTTGAAATAACGGCCCCGAAATTTTTTTCTAGGAACTTTTCTATGTTCCTTTGAACACCTCAGCAAGTACTTCATCGAAAAAGTAATTATTAAATCAAATAAATAAAAAATTACGTTGAAAAAGGCGGTGCGAAAGGAAAGGTGTGTGCTGGTAGGAAAAGGCCACTTTTTCGGGTGGTTGGTGTCTGCCGCATCCGCGCACCCTCCTCCTTTTCAATGAACTCTCGTCTTGACAGCGCGACGTTTCGGACGCCGTGGAGGGCGCAGAGAAGTCAGCCGGTCACTTGGCCAGGTGAGAGAGACTAAAAAGCGGACGGTTCTTCGACGACCACCAACCCACGGCCGTTCATCATCACCTTTATTCGGGTTAAGTGGGAGGTGAAACCGTGGAATACCGTTTGAAATTCGCTTTGTTGCAAGACCTTTGTTTGAAAATCGAAGGTTAGAGTTTCTTTTTCAGGATATTTGAACTTTTTTTTTTCCTGTCCCTAGTTCAAAAAGTTGCCGAAAAACGTGAGAGTAGCCAATTTCGTCCTATTTTTATAAAGTAAGGTCTCGCATTTGGAATGAACCAGAAAAAATCAAAAGGTACAAAAAATTAGCCTTGTGATGGGAAGAGCATCATTACACGAAAAAAACCCAAAAAAATTATATAATGAGCTTCCGGAAAAATGAGAAACGATGAAAAAACGGAAACTACGCTCCTCAAGTTGTCATTATGGGAATCTGAGCTCTAAGTGATTCCTTAAGAGGTCAATATTTCTCTCCTCATGCTTGAGAAGCAAGTGAAGAACCTAGTGATCATTCAAGGGACCTCTTTGAATATCCCTATAAACTCTGAGCCTCTCTAGAAACACTTCTAAACGGCGCGTGGAATGAGTGTAAGCGACAAATTTGCATCCGACGTGATAACGACTTGCGCGGGTTGGCATTGGAAAACATGCCCTAACTTACACAAAGTTAAGATACCTAATTTTAGAACCATTTGATGGGAAAAAGTAAAAATAAAAGATCCCGGAGATAAACTTATTCATTTATTGACTGATCGATCGATGGAAACGTTCGTGGACTCGTAATTCCGACGCGCGACAAACATGGAAATGCACTGAATCACGACAAACGCGTGTGGGTGTGTGTGAATGTGTATAATGTATGTGATAAGACATTTTCCGTTGGCATTGGTTTCGCTCTTTTGAGGGGATGTTAAAAGTTGCTAGTTTTGTAGATTCCTGAAATTTGGGAAAGACTTAACTGCGACCCTACTTTCAACCTAATTTTCTTTTTCAAGCCTCTCACCTTTTAATCGAGTTGTAGGGCCTCGAATTTGAACAGCCTAGAACAAGAAATGGACATTGAGGCGCCCTTTATCGACTTACAGAGGAATAATTTAAAAACAACTTTTTTTTCTGAAAATAGAGCCCTCTATATAATTTCCCAGTCAATGCCCAGCGAAATTCTTTAAACTCATACTTTTCAACTGGCCCTCAAATGATCACTTCGTAGAATTGGAACGGAGCCCTGTCTCGATCAAACTGATCAAATAAATATTCGAGAGTGACACTTGAGATTTTCTGGGTTTACCCAAGCTTCAAGGAAACTTTCTTCAAAGCTTAGAAACCGTAAATCAATTAGGAATTGAAATAATACAAAATTTCTTCTTAGAGATGCAAAGTTTGTATGCGGATAGAGATGAGAGAAAGATAAAAAAGGAAATTGTCATCTATTATTATTTTTGAAGGAACACAACGCTTAAAAAATCTTCAAAAGAACACAAGTTTTGAATGTAGATGATGTTAAAAAAAAGAGAAAATTGCAATTTTTCAGGAGTGTTGAGATTGAAAAAATGTCGAGAGTCAGACTTTGAACTCAGTTCAGACAAATTTAAATGAAAAATTATCCGACACTTTTCCAACTGAACCTTTCCGCTTTTCTTACAAAAGGAGGATTTTCAAACCATTTAAAAGTATTAAAAAAACAAAAATGAACAGAAAAATGATTAAAAACATCATAAATAGATAAAAGTGAGGGAAAGAAAGAGAAAATCTGAGGTCTTCTGGTCGCAGAGCGCATTAAACTTGAATATTTGAGAGATTAGCATCGAATTTCAATGCTCCGAGAGTGATGTTATTGATATTTAATATTGAAACGTTCATAAAAATAGATGAAAACAGAGAAAAAGGCTCTGTACGCATTTGGAATGGCTCAACGCGTTAAGGTTCAAGACATTTTTTTTTAATTCGACTCTTTTCGAGTGCGATCAAAAAGTTTCAACTCAGTTGAAACGATATTTTTGAGGGAAATTAAAAAAAAACCGCTTTTATTGGATTTCCCGCCGAACACATAAATATAGGATAAGTTGAATGTAGGGCATCGGGTCAAAGTTTTGAAAAAAGAAATAAAATGAAACATGTTGATTAGAGGCTTGTTTCTGAGCCGATTGATACACAAAAAAACAGAAATCGCCTCTCTCAAAAAAAGGCATAAACTCTTTTCATCCATTGTATGATTGAAAAGCGGGTAATAAACTTCAGATTGGAAGGAAAATGAATGAAAGAATAGAGGGAAAATGAATTGAAACTCAGCAAAAAAAGAAAAACGTCTTACTCATCCAAGTTCTCATAACATTTTTTTTTCGTTACGTCGGAAAAATTTTGGAGAAAGTGAAGAATTTTGACGTGAAAATCTCTTCAAAAACTAAAATTGAACTTCAAAAAAAAACCCTAAAGTGAGCTTTCGTGAAATTATACTTCACGTGAAAAACTGTAACACAATAAAATTCATCAATAAATAAATTATCACGGCTAATTAAATTGATTCACTTTAAAAATTGACATTTTGAAACCAACTTCTGATGTTCTGAAAAATTGAATATTGAAAATTCTCAAAATAATTTTTGGCCAGTCAAAACCATCAGAAAAGTGAAAAAAGAATTTCAAAAAAAAAAAGTAGTTCTTAAAGTTCTACATATCATTTCCATGGCACCATTCCCATGCAATTATATCCAAATTATACACAATTCGACACGGGAATGAGAAAATGCAAGAAAAGAACAAGAGTTTGAAGGTACTTCAAGGCAAAAAAACTATTTAATATAGAGAAAAAAATAAATTTGGACCAGTTACGAAACTTTTACGACCAAAAAAAAAGTTTCGTAACTGGTGATCGTTTAATTTTTTATGTTTCTTTGAACACTTCCGCAAGGTTTTTAAAACAAATCGAACTTTAAATATCAAGCTTTTCCCAATCAAAACTTGGCCCGGGTACAAAAACTTGAAGCGTTCGCAAGGAAGGCCGGATGTTTGCTCTACGTCATTCAACTTTTGTGTGACCGGGGGACCGCGATTCCCTTTTCACACCACAACAGATCAACCTCATATTCTCATTCATTCATATCTCAAGCAACATATTCGATTTCAAAAAGGTATTACACATCAAAAATTCGAAAAAAGAACTTTTTCCAAGCTTCGCAATCGTAAAAAATGTTCCTCAGCTGGGCGACATTGAATAAACAATGGTCGACCATTTTATAAACCGCTCTTGTTTATAATATCAACTGGACACCGTGAAAAATAACGATATAGGGTTTTCTCTGAAAAATTCGTGAAACAGAAAAAACTACGGAACGTTTTTCTTTAAAACCTTTTGAACTTTTGAAAAAGGGTTCAAATTTATAAAAAAAAAAACGTTTTGATATATATAGTTGTATTGAAAGTGATACCCGTCAAAGAAAAAAAAAGATAACTAACTTTGGAGAATCAGAGATGATTCTGCATTTCGCGGAAATTACTTTGAACAGGACGTAAATCAGAGCTATTATTTAAAAACAAATAAATCAATAAATGCATAAAAGGAAAATATTGAGAAAGTCCGCTCCAGAGTACGTAAACTGAAGCGTCGTTTCAAGAAAATGTTATCAATGAATTTTTTCTTCGTTTTTCGG